ACTGCTACGATACTTTGACTTGTAGGAGACATAGAAATATTTATTAGCGAAATTTTCGGCAACTCCTGTTACCTTCGTCAGCGCATGAGTATCAATGAGAAACTTAACAGAATACATAAGACTATATATATATATATAAATCATCAAAGAAATGTAAATACAGCGTTCGAATAAAGGGCATAATAATACATCGTGTAGCATAGCTCTCAACGAATGTAGTCCTGTAAATAAATGAATAAAGAAATTGTGTATAAAATCCCTCTGGCAGGACTCGAACCTGCGACCTCTCACTGTCAAGGCGAGCATCATAACCATTAGACCACAGAGGCTTCATGGTTGAACAGATTCAAATACCAACAAATTAGTATAATATAAATCAAGATAGCCGTTAACACTGTTAAATTATATATATAAATCATCAAAGAAATGTTAACGGCTATCTTGATTTATATAGATAACATAGGCTAAAATGTAAGGAAAATATACTGTATCTTAAAAATGTGATTTCTTTCGTTGTATTTTTCTTTACTGAATTAATTCATTTAGGTCTTTAAAATTGGGTGTTAATCAATTTAAAACTTTCTGCAGTAAAAACTTTTTTATATCTGTTTTGAATTGTAGGTTTCTTACGTATTTCATCCTTTCACATGAGCAATCCAATTTTTTTTTTCCAGACAAACTACATACAACACCACTGACAGAGCATCAAACTAAGCTACCATCACCAGAAGATCTGAAGGAAAAGATACTAATCAAGGTACAGAAGTGCTCTGTTAAAACCATCATGTTTTATACATAGGCAAATTCAAGGGGCTCAGCTGGGAATACCAACCATAGTGGGGTTGAGGTGGTAAAGTTTCCTCTCTGGCCACCCCTACCATTCATACTATAATGCATGATGCCCTAAATTGTGTTACCTAAAGTGTGGATTGAATTAAAACTTGGAAAGTGTATAGAGATCATTTTTTATCATTATCGATTCTTGTGTATGTATGCGTAGTAATGTATATACAGTATCGCGACATTTTTTAAATGTAGAGGCCGTCATTTGTTGTATCCAACATGCAGGTCGCTCAAGTGACCACGAGCACATGAGTATTAACCATAGTCACATAAGAACCACATATTATATAGCAATAAACACTACTGAAGTACATTATCTTTCCCGTAATAGAGGAGTAAAATATTGCTAGTAAAACATAATGATCCACCACATAAGTGAAATAGTATGAATCTCACAATTTCGTTAAAACTAATTTTCAGACTAAAAAGCTGCCGATGGCGGTAGAATGTGAAGCTGAGACTGGAGAGGTTACTGATGAAGACAGTGCCGATGAAATGGAAGATAATTTCAAGGTAACCAAAGTTTAAAGTTCAAAGGTCACTTTATATGTCATACATGAAATATAAAATAAATATATGAAATTATTTTCCCAGTATAGTGTTGCACTTCTCCGAGCAATTCTAATAAATGAGAAATGATAGTTTGAGAGTTTAGGAAATTCAAATCAAGAAAAAAAATGTACAAAATTTAACCACATAACATTTGAGGAGCCTCAATGTCAGCAAATTTCCTGAAGTATGTGAACTTATGAGTTTTCATTCCATCAACTAGTGTATATTTCCTGTCTCTTATACACATCTAGATGTGTATAAGAGACAGATTCTGATTTAAGAAAAACATATCTCCCATCATATTATATTAATTTTCCAACAAATGAAAAATTCTATCAAATTATGTCATCAAAAAACAGTAATATAATTAGAAAAGTATGTTTATTTATTTATCATGCATTTAAGAGAAAGGAAAACAAAGAAACACGGGTGTATTAATGAAATGTATTTAAAGTACGGTATTGTCACAGCACGCTTATTTAATTTGTAATAATTTTGTTTTACAA